GGATGGTGGGGGAGGGGTGGGGAGGGGAGAAGAGGTCCGGTGGGTCGAAGATGGTGGAAGTGCGAGTTAAAGATGAGAGAGGATGTTAAATAGTTATTTTTGTGACTAGGGAGTAAAAGGCAGTCAATCTCTTATTGCAGAAATGATTTATATAAATAGACAGGAAAAAGGACTAAATTTACAAACAGACACAGATACATTAAGTAGGACATATACGGATATTCTTAAAAAGATTTAGCTATTTACATATTTTAACCTGTATTGACTTATGTTTATGTTTGATATGTTTAAATGTTTGACGTACTGACAAATCAGTTGAGACATGAATTTGTAACAAGCAACATTGAAAATGTATAATAATTATGAAATTGTTTTATTATATGTAATAGAGTGGTATTATGTATATTAGATTGGATATAAAATGTAGTGTTTAATTTGGGCTCATAGAGGTAAAAGAAAAATTCACATTCATTTATATAATATATCTATTTTTCTGATTAAGAATAAAAAACCTTTTTTTTTTTTTTTAGCAAGTACGAAATTAGTTCACTCAGCTAGATAACTGATGTGGAAGATAATTTTACTTAGATGAGTTCCGAAAGCGTTTATAATTAATTGATATTGCTGAAGATGACTTAAAAAATAAAGTTGAAACGTACGTAAGAGAAGACTAATATTGAAAATTATTCGCAACCTTACATCCAGCGGTGGACTCCTATTGCCTCAAAGATATTGTGATTTTTAGAATATAAGGAGTTATTAACTTTGTTTATTGTTAATATTAACTGTTAGAATAGAGAGTTAAATCTCCCGGTCACCTCGCACTGCCATTTGTCAAATGCCATGCGTCATCTCGATTCTCGATCTTCGACGATAATCGAGATAACCGTCAGCTGATAATTACTTTTACTTTTTCATTGTTATATTCAAATATATATATTGTTCGTTAGACTTTCTTTTGTTCGGTGCGCTATACATGTAGAACCGTCTCAATATTGTATTATCGCTTCTTATTTCTCAAGTATTAAAGAAAGAACATCAGCAAAGTTTGTGCACACACTCGCCTGATTTTTTTGTTATATTCAGACCTAATCACGTTATGACCTCGATTTAATTCTACAGGTTATGGGCCCAGAATTCGCCGCGTGTTAAGGTTAAGTGTACACGTGCTCAATTAATTGTGCAAAGTACGTTCTTTCTTGAATTACTTACTTGCTTATTTGCTTTATGATGGCCTCATCATATGGACCGTATCGTGTTGAGTTATTGTCGAAAGACAATTATGATACTTGGAGGATGCAAGTAGAGGCTTTGCTCACGAAGAACGATTTATGGGAGTATGTTAGTGGAGAGAAGGTCAAGCCGGAACCAACAGCTGATGGAAACGAAAATCCTTTGACAGAGGCCTGGATAATCGGTGACAGAAAGGCAAAATCGAATTTAATTCTCTCGATTCACTCTTCAGAATTGTCGCAAATTCGTGGATGCGAAACGTCGCGTGCCATATGGTTAAAATTTGAGTCTATATACTCTTCGAAGGGACCTGCAAGGAAGGCAACGTTGTTGAAGCAACTCATACATCAGCGGATGCACGACAATGCAGATATGAAGGAACATATTGATAAATTCTTCGATGCAGTCGACAAGTTAGAGGGTATGAATGTGCAAATAAATGGTGATCTGTTAACTATAATGTTGTTATACAGTCTCCCAGCTTCTTTCGAGAATTTCAGATGCGCTATTGAGACTCGAGACAAGCTTCCCACAGCTGAGGAATTAAAAGTGAAGATTTTGGAAGAAACAGAAGCGAGAAAAGCTGGTGGAGAGCTTATAACTGCTTTAGCGGCAAAGGGTGGCAAACCGAAGAAATTTCGACGTCCCAAAAAGAGAAAAGACAGATGAAAAAGGATCCGAGAGTAATAGCAATTCGACGATAAAGTGTTATGATTGCGGTGTTGTAGGACACAAGAGGCCGGATTGTCCAAAGAAGAAGGAAAATAAGTCTTCCGAGAAGCCCCGGCAGTCAGCAAATACCGTCGATGATTCCTACGCCGCTTGTCACATGACTGTACCTATCGAAGAGGCATTTAGAGGCGGAAGTGGAACAATAACTCGACCTTGGATTCTCGACAGTGGGTGCACTGGTCATCTCTGTGGTGATGAAGAAAGTTTTCAGCAGATGCGTGAAACGGACAGAAACAGATTAAATTTAGCCAGTCATGCTGTTGCAAAAATCGAGGGCGAAGGAGAGGTTCTGTTTAAAGCCACAACTGAACAAGAAAAAAGATTGATAAAATTCCGAAATACATTGTATGTGCCCGATTTACGTACGAATTTAGTATCAGTAGCTAAGATCACGGACACTGGACATGAGGTAATTTTTAGTAACCGAGAAGC